ATTTCTCCACTGTGAGATCAATAAAGCTCTTATCTTATCTTATCTTATTAGTATCAATATCTTTACCATTTTTCATCCAGTCTGTGTGTTACTGTGTAGTCTCTCTCTCTCTCTCTCTCTCTCTCTCTCTCTCTCTCTCTCTCTCTTGTCCTCTCTCTCTCTTGATTAGCTCTTAAAGGGATGTGGACTTCAAAAAGATCAGACATGGTCAGTAAATCCTGACCCAACAAAGCCTGACCGGAAAAAAATGGACCAACTCTTTATACTTCATAAAATAATTCTATTAAAGATTAAATAAATGCATAAATACTTTTTTATAGTATCTCTCTCTCTCACCCCCCCCTCTCAAGGTAGATGCCCTGAGCCATGGTTCTGCTCCAGGTTTCTGCCTCTTAAAAAACGCTTCCATTTAACTGTGCATATGGAAACTGAATGTATTTTGTCTTGACCCTTCTCTTTTAATCTCTTTAATTTTTATTATTTTTCTTTTCTTGTTTTTCTGCTTTTAAATTCTCTGTGAAGCACTTTGAATTGTCTTGAGCACAAAATGTGCTGTACACATAAACTTGCCTTGCCTGTTAACGGCAGTTTTTCCTTCCCTGTGTCGCCTAGTGCTTGCTCTTGGAGGGAATTGTTGTTCTTCTGTAAATAACTTTAGAGTCTGAGCTGCTCTGTTTGGAAAGCTGGGAGATAACTGTAGTAATAATGTGGAGCTATAGGAATAAAGGTGAATTGAGTTATATAGATAAAATAGAATTGAGTTACTCACTCTGACCAGTCGGAGACGTAGCAGAACATGAGGCGGCGCGCGTGATAGGGCAGCCAGCACACCACGAAGGCTATGACCACCGCTCCTGAGAACAAGAGGAGAGAAAAAAAGGGGGTCACCCAAAGCCCAGAAAGCCAAAGGGAGGGGACTCAAAACTGACCCGGAGAGGACAGGACGCCTGTGTTTGGTTATATGTGACGTGAGGAACCGGGAGGGGAGAAAATGAGCTGTGGACACATGTTAGCATGTTAGCATTTCTAATGCGACACAAATCAATTTGACCTCAAAGGAAACCGAAAGTCGATAAAGATGTGAGCTGATTAAAGCTCCCACCGCTAATGTGGGAGATGGGGTGAATCAGAATCAGAAATACTTTAATAATCCCAGAGAGAAATTATTTTTGTTACAAATTCCCGAAATACAACAGCCCTACACATATATACATGTCTATATATATAGATCATTGTATATATATATATATGTATATATATACATATATATACAATTCCACACAGGATATAATTAAATATAATAAATAATAAAAATATATATATCTATATATACAATAAGAATCAGAAATACTTTAATAATCCCAGAGAGAAATTATTTTTGTCACTAACTCCAGAAATAAAACAACAGCATATACATATATACATGTCTATATATACATATATATATATATATATATATATATATATATACAATTCAATACAGGATATAAATAAATATAATAAATAATAAATATAAATATTTGACCTTTGACCTCAAAGGAAACCAAAAGTCGATAAAGATGTGAGCTGATTAAAGCTCCCGTCGCTAATGTGTGAGATGGGGTGAATCAGAATGAGAATCTGAAATATTTTAATAATCCCAGAGAGGAATTATTTTTGTCACTAATTCCAGAAATACAACAGCATATACATTTACACATGTCTATACATATATATATTTATATATATATATACACACAATTCCACACAGGATATGAATAAATATAATAAATAATAAATATAAATATTCAACCTTTGACTTCAAAGGAAACCAAAAGTCAATAAAGATGTCAGAAATACTTTAATAATCCCAGAGGGAAATTATTTTTGTTACCAACTCCAGAAATAAAACAACAGCATATACATATATACAGTGGGGAAATAAGTATTTGACCCCTTGCTGATTTTGCAGGTTTGCCCACTTACAAAGAATGCTTATTTTTCCTCATCAGATGGTTATCAATTTTTATAAATTCATATGATGTGATTTTCTGGAATCTTCTTTGGGATTCTGTCTTTCACTGTTAGAATGTAAATATGATTAAAGTTATAGATCGTTGCATTCTTTGTAAGTGGGCAAACCTGCAAAATCAGCAAGGGGTCAAATACTTATTTCCCCCACTGTACATGCATATACAGTATATATATATACACAATTCCACACAGGATATAAATAAATATATACATAAGTAAGTAAATATATATATATAGGTCTAAAATAAGTGATAATGATAATGCTGATAGATTAGTTAGAGTTCCTCCCTCTCCTAGTTTTCTGCCCCATTCACATCTGATCCACACTGGTCTAAATCTAGATTAGACTTTTCTCTCTTTCACCACTTGATTGTGGATCTCCTGCCTCCTCCCTGGAAACCGAGGCTGTGTGTGCGTCAGAAATCCCGCTTAGTTCACTTCACATCGACCAGGGGAAGGAGCTCCCTGCTCCGGGTCCTCTCTGGGACAGGGAAATGATTCACCCCAGAGAACCAGAGCTGAAAATGCAATTTTTATCAAAAACACTAGTAAGGAAATGAACCAAACCTCAGAAGGTTTAAGAAAACAACATACAGGACTGTCTCAGAAAATTAGAATATTGTGATAAAGTTCTTTATTTTCTGTAATGCAATTAAAAAACATGAAATGTCGCAAGCCTTTTATTGTTTTAATATCGCTGATTATGGCGTACAGCTTAAGAAACCCAAATATCCTATCTCAAAATATTAGAATATCGGATTTTTGAGTTTTCTTCAGCTGTACGCCATAATGAGCTATATTAAAACAATAAAAGGCTTGCGATATTTCAGTTGATTTGTAATGAATCCAGAATGTATGACATTTCATGATTTTTTAATTGCATTACAGAAAATAAAGAACTTTATCACAATATTCTAATTTTCTGAGACAGTCCTGTATGTCCCCAGAAACTGCTGCCCAGTAATGATAAGCAGCGTCCAGGTTGTCCATTCCCTGCTGTTCGACCTCCCTTTGGTGTGTAAAAACCAAGTGGGACTTTACTGAGAGGCGAAAATGAGCCAAAATTGTGAATGAACACATAAATGAAGAGTTTAAAAAAAAAAAAA